GGCCGGCAGGGTTGACGTTGGCCGGCCCGTTCATCCTGGCGAGGTGGCTGCCGGCGAGGCTGTGGGGGGAGAGGATGTTTGAGCAGGGCCTGGCACAGCAAGTGGTTGGGCATGGGGGGGCACCCACATCCCCTCAGCCACACCGGACCCTGGTCTTGGCCCCCACTGACCGTGGGTGATCAATGTCCCCATCCTGGGAGGAGGACGCTGCATCCCACACCTCAGGGTGAGGACATACGTGATGTCCCCCCACAGGGATCCACAGGGCCAGGGCACATGTGACATCCTCCCCCAGGGACCCTGTGCAGCCCCATCCCTGTGTCCCCAGGTCCCTATGGCAGGTCACTGCAGCAAGGCCATATGGGCACAGACCCTCACCAGGTAGGGCTGCACCACAGGCAGGATGGGCCCCTCTTGGCCACCCAAAACCATCTCCTGGTTCCCAAAACCACCTCCTGGTCAACTGAGACCATCTCCTGGTCATCCAAGACCATCTCCTGGCCACCCAAGACGATCTCCCAGACACCTGAGGCCATCTCCTGGCCACCTAAGGCCATCTCCTGGTCACCCAAGACCATCTCCTGGCCATCCAAGACCAATTCCTGGTCACCTAAGACCATCTCCCAGCCACCTGAGACCATCTCCTGATTACCCAAGACCACCTTCCAGTGGCACGAGGACCAGCTGTGTCACCCCATTCCTCAGGCCATTACTGGTGTCTGAGCCCCATCTCTGCCCTCCCCATCCCCAACATCCCGCCCCCACGTGGTGCCAACCACCCCATCTCTCCATGCTCCTGCTCTCATTGTGCCCCACAGTGACTCTCCCTGGCACCACCACCCAGATGGTGCCCTGTGTCCCCTTTCCTTGGCGTTTCACTCCATGCAGATGAGGACGGGGGCTCGGCGCACCGCCCCATCCCGCCCAAAGCACCCGTGGGCAGGCAGGGCCGTCTTTGCCACCACCAGTGACAGAGACGTCGGCACGGTCGCAGCAAGTGGAGAAGCTCATCCCTCCTGCAGGCTTTGCCCAGGCAGGGCAGAGCAGAGCTCAGCAAGAAAATCAGCCATGGAGCAAAGCTCCATCTCCAACCACCTCCTGCCTTCAGCTCTCTGGAAAAAAAACTCAAAACTCAAAAAAAAAAAAAGGTTTTCTCCAGAGGATGGAGTGGTTTCTAGAAAGACGGGGAGATGTGGCTCCACAGGCGTCTGTGCCAACCTCTGACCCCTCGCCCCGGTACAGCCGCAGCGAACTGAAAGGCAAATGGGTGCTGGGTGCCACAAATCTCCTGGGACACACATTTCATGGGTCGCTCCAGCAGTTTCGCTCAGCCTCCTTGAAGGAAAACCTCCGGGGAGGGGAGCAAAAGCTTTTTAGGGTCCCCGAGCATCCTAGGGGGGACTATCAGCTCAGGTCAGCCACTCGCGGTCCCCATCACCCACGGGGGGGTTCCTCTCCCCCGGCGCTGGCTTAGGGCCGGGTGGGTGCAGCGAGCACAAGCGGGTCTTTGTGCGGCCGCTCCAGCAAGCGCGTTCGGGGCTGTGCTGGAGCCGAACGAAGCCGTTCCTGGCGGGCTGGGGGGACGCTGCTGCCCAGGTACGGGGCTGCACACAAGCTGCTCTGTTTGCAGCCCGGGGCCTGCAGCCTGGC